CTAAGGTACTAGAAGTCAAAATAGCAGCTGCCCACTGGGGAAGAGAAGAGATACTCCCAGAAGACACAGAAGAGCCTGTGTGATGCTGTCAGTGATCTAGATCTTGATCAAGGTAGTGGTGACATGGTTGTGTTCCATATGTAAAAGTTCATCAAACTGTACACTTAAGATTTATATACTTAGATATATATAAATTATAAATTACTAAGGCATGACAAAAACGAAAATAGTTTGCCTCAGAAGGAAGTTTCCAGTGGTATGTCAGAAGTAAATCTTTGATCCAATTCAACACATTTGTCACTAGCTTGAATAAAGATGAAGAAAACCTACGTTTCAAATTTGTGGATATCACAAAAAAGTTTCATTGTGTAATATATGAGTTTTTAAAATGTCAACAGGCAGGATCCATGATCCCATTTAACAAGCTGACATTTAATAGGATAAATGTAAAGTCCTATAGTTTAAAAAGAAATGTGACATAAAAGCCATGAGTAGCATGTTCTGGGAAAAATCATATGCTTTATCATTTTTAGAATCAGACAAACAGAGCTAATTAAAGTGAGCAAAACCTACAGGGGAAAAGGAAGATCTTCATAACAGCTAGCATAGGACTGTACGTTGAGATACTGTATTCCCTTTATGTGAAAGTAAAAAATAAAATCTTAGCCTTAGAAGATCATACCTAGAAGAGATCCTAAAGGTTATCTAAATTCTGCCTTCTGTTATTTAAGTACATAAATGTAGTTTTTACATGAATATATTTATATTTTTATTCATATTTATATATGAGGAAAATGGGGCCTGAAGAGAAAAAGTAACTTTGTGAAATGTTCATGGTAAATGCAGAACCATGACAAGAACCTAGCCCTACACTCCTTGTTTTCTACCCTGTTATTTTATCTTCCTAGTGTGCTGGTGATTATTTTAGGACAGAGCATCACAGTGAGCTTATATATTATATTTTATCTGGCATTTTTTACATATTTATGCTGTTTTCTGAAATAGAATGTACATTTAGGCCAGAAAACCTAACTCTGAATTTTCTAGGACCTAAAAACCCATAATAATGCAGAGTAGAGTGTTTTCACAACAGTTGGTCAACAAGTGTTTGTTAATTAATCATAAGAATACAGACAAAGGTGAAATAACTTTAAAACACTTTTATTTCCCTTTTCTTATTATCAGACAGAACCCTGCATTATTTAGTCTCTAAATACTCAGGGAAAACTTTTCTCTCAACTTAAAAAGTGTAATATTTCTCATTGTCCAAAGGTCTTTCCCTTGTTTTACAGATAAATATCATTATGGCAATATATGGTTTTCCCTTTAATTCTGACTTTAATTATAATTGTAATGCACAATAACTGGCTGCTGATTTCCCGATATGGTCCTTCTTGAAAATGACTTCAAAGACTCATATTTGTCTTATTATATCTGTAGAGAGGTAATTATAATTGTTATTATCTTAAATTACAAATTCTGTTTTCCAATCCTGTGATTATATTATATGTTCCCAAATTACCATATGTCTTAAGATAGTTTATTTTTAATTTTACTCTAGAATGTAAACTATGTGATTATCAGGATAGTGTCTGTTATGATCACCACCATATTTTATGCCTACAATAATTCTTAGCACAAACTATGAATTCCATAAGTATCTACTGAATGGAGGTAATTAAAGTTAAGAAATATATTTGGAAATAAGAATCAGGAAACAGTTCTGAAAATCTTCTCTTTCTATCTTTGCATCTGTCTGCATTTTCTATCTTTACAATTTGTTGTAAAATGTTATCCTCTTTTAACTTGGTTCTTTTCCTAATTAATTTAACTTGGTTCTTTCCCTCCATTCTTTACCTAATCTGTGTTTATTTTGCAGATGTTCTGAGATATTAGAAAACATGTTTTCCTATTTTAGCATTTTGTCTAGTGTGTGTTTGTGCAGGTATACAACATATATGTGAAAAAAAAATGATGAGAAAAAGGGATTTGGGCATCAGTTTGTGATTTAATTCTTCTATACTCTTGGTTCTCCTTAATGCATCATCACATGATTAATTTACTCATGAGTTTCCCAAATGTACCTAACAGAAAGGATACAAGAAAATGTGTTAGTTTCCCAATGCTGTGATCTCATGATCTTCACCATTTAGAGGTAGCCTCAGTATTACAAAGTGTCTATAGTACGTGTGACCATATTGAGAAAAGTTGGGTCAGATGCAGTCCTTATCCATGAAATATTTAATGGTCTAGTTCTAGGAAGAAACACAAAAATGCAATTTCAGTTCAGTGTGACAAAGATATGATCAAGACGTCATGGTGTATATGGAAAGGAATGATTTATGATAATATATTGACTAAAATTTTGCAGCACTGACAAAGCTATTAGAAAGTAATATGAAATGAAGAGATACCTTTTTTTATTGTAAAGATTGTCCTGATTTTCTTCTTTGAATTCCTGCAAAAATACTTGCCTGTATGGCTTACATGCTGCTCATCTTACACTATTTCCGGTTCTTAGCCATTTCTTCATGTGCATACCTTCTGTTCCTTAATGAGCTAATAAGCATTTTTATGGCAAGCAATGTGTTTTCTTTGTATCTGCCTCCCAACCAGTCTTTATTCAGCATATCACATTACCTTATTACTCACTAAATGCTTACTTTGAGCTTATTATGTGTCAGAAAGTATTCCAGATAACCAGGGATAAAGCAGCAAACGAAATAAAGTCCCAGCCCTCAAAGAAAATACATTCTGTGAGACAAAAGAGAAACTCAACAAACAAACCAACAAATATATAATGTGTTTGATAATGATAAGTGTTATGGAGGAAAATACGTTTTGGTAAGAGGGAATAGAGCATGGTAAAAGAATAATTTTTATAGAATAATCAGGAAAGTTTCAATAAACGGTATATTTGAGCTAAGACAGCTGAGATATCTTGGGGAAAAACATTCAAGACAAAAAAAAATTATGCGAAGACTCTTGTACTGAAGAGTATGTTCTTTTAGGAATAGGAAGATCTATTACTAGAGATGGGTAAGTGAGGGGAAGAGTGGAAGGAAATCAGGAGAGAGGGTTGGAGGGAGTTGATGGATCATGAAACTCATGAGGAGGAACTTTAATTTTACCTTGGATGAGATGGGAAGTGACTAGAGAGTTTGGTGTGAAACAGCGGAGAGAAAATCGTATTTACATTTTTTTCTTGTGGAAATGTCTCCATTCTAACTTATTTATATTTTAGAAGTGTATCTGGAGCTATACTTTTCTAAATGGCAAAGCAAGACTCATATGGAAAGGGAAGTACAGGAGCAAAAGTGGTAGCTAGGCAACCAATTAGAAGGCTGTTGCAAGACTTCAGGTGATAGTGGTTATTGGTTTGGTTACAACGTAAGTAGTAGATGGTGTGAGGTGGTTGGATAATGGATATGTTTTGAAAGAAGAAAAAAGTGAACAAAAATACTTGGTAATGGATTAAATGTGAGAGTATCTGGTGATTGATTGGAAGTGGTGCATGTGCAAACATAATCAGGACAATCCCGATGTTTTTAGTCTAAGAAACAGAGGATGGAGGTGCCAACTATCACACCACCATGGAAAGGGGAGTTGTCAGGCTGAAGACTTCAAGAGAAGCATGTTTTGTTCAGAATTTGTCCACTGTACATCAAGAGTGCCTTATCTACAAACAAGCAGAGAAACAAAGGAGACAGTTGGACATACGGGTCTAATGTTTAGGGAAGAAGATTAGATTCAACATGCAATGCTTAATATTTATGCAAAAATAAGACTTATTTCTGTTGATTCATTTCCTGGTTCAATAATGAAAAAAATGTTAATTGATGCTTTTACAAAATGAGAAAATCCAACAAATCCTTGCTTCCCAGACATATATTTGGATAGGGTATCTCTGATGTATCTGACTTAACCATTGTGGAGAACAAGGACTATTTGCACTCTTTTCCTGAACTGGTAAAAGTAAAGACTATATTTCATTTGAAACAGAGCCTCAAAGTTTGCTGATAAATGGCTTTATTATACTAATTGCATTTTCTTTATTTCCATAGTCTGTCAGTGTGCCAGAGGGAAATTTTATTGGTCTTAAAGGATTTGTTCTTCAAATGGCCATGTAGGTCGCAACACAAAAACTTACTTAGTTGCTGGCAAATTTATTATTTAATGATTTGTCCCCAGTGTCTTTCTGGTGGCTGTGTTTAAAATCATTGGTCTATAATTACTACCTTTTATGCATATGCATGCACATGTATTTCATTTATAGTCTTTAGACACATTTTTCATTCAAGTATTCAAAAAGTACTCTTATTTAAAGACTCTGTGATCACATAGAACAATCTTCAAGTATTCTTAAGCTCATTTGGACAATGACAGTTTGAAAAATAATGTAAGGGTGTTGTAGCTGACATCTGAGAAACTCATACCTTAGAAGGAATAATTGGATTGTAAGGCATTTTAAATACTTTGTACATTCTGAGTGGCCTTATGCTTAAAACACTCTTGATATAATTGAAATGCTCATATGTTTCTTTCTAACTTCTCTCTACTTTGAGGTTTTGTGGAGTTGATGATCTCTAATAGTATTATTTTTAAAAGAAGATTCAGACACAGGTATAGCATGAAGAGAAAAATTGTGGTCCAAAATAACATGGTTTGGAATCAAAGTTGCAAATTCATGCAGGATAAGGATTTATTGAGTTAAGATAAGTAGAGAAATTAATAAAAAAAATAAACAATGCAATAGATTATTTCCATAATTTTCAAAAAATACTTCAAAAATCATTTGACTGAAATATAGGTTCTTTCATGTTTTCATGCTTTTTTTTTTTTTAACTATTTGTATTAGTAAATTATCCTGAAGAATAGTTAAAATCTAGTGTACCCAGGATGATATCCTAAAAGATACAGTTACAATATGATCCTAACACCTATATTGATACCTTTTATAGTGTGTATGTATATATTTTTTTTCTGTGTCTTATCCATAGAAAATGATACCATCTACTGGACAGACATGGGCTTCAATAAAATTAGCCGAGCTAAAAGAGATCAGACTTGGAAAGAAGATATCATTACCAATGGCTTGGGAAGAGTGGAAGGGATAGCCATTGACTGGATTGCTGGTATAATCCATGGCTTTTTATCTTTTTGTTTCACACCTATTTTGTTAGGGGCTCAAAATGCTTCATAAAAAATCTTTTCTAACTCATAACAGTGTTTTTTGTTTTTTGTTTTTTGTTTTGTACTTCCAGCCACAGGGGTAAATAGTTTCTTTTGCTTTTGGCTTCACTCCTTCTAATGCTTTTGAGCCTTTGGATAAGGGTTTTTATGTAGAAGTAGATTATGTAGTGTTAACTTTGCCCAAATCTCCTGAGAGCTCCATAAGGCAGGTAAACAAAAGTGTTAGAAGTTCTCTTTTGCCTGAAGTCAGTAGAAAGTTAAAATAGGTCTTTTCTTTAGGTAGGAGAAGTTTCAACTTCTTTTTACCATGTAAATATATCATTATATGGTTTCAACCAGAGATGTGTGAGATTAGAATTGAAAGTATTTGCATATTAGTTTATTTACAGCTTTCTGCTTAGAAAACACTTTTAAAAAGAATGTAGGAAGTAAACAGTTTCTTGGTAGTTATGTGAATGCTCAGAAATTTAATTTTACTCATAACAAGTACATTTTTTTCTCAAAACTGTATTATAAACACCTCTATTATTTCTCCTAGGTAACATATATTGGACAGATCATGGTTTCAACTTAATTGAAGTTGCAAGACTCAATGGTTCTTTCCGTTATGTAATTATTTCCCAAGGCCTGGATCAACCAAGATCTATAGCTGTGCACCCAGAGAAAGGGTAATTTTAAGATTTACATATATCTTCCAAGTTTTAAGTGAGTTTCCTAAGTTTTGTTGAAAAAAAAATTAATTACTTTTAGCTGTAATGTCTGAGACAAAATCAAGAATATCTTACCTATGCAGAAAAAAATGTTTATATTCACTTTGTTCATATAATTTACTGCATATTTGATGAAGTCACATTTATCGTAGATTTCTTTTATGTGTGTGTAAATCCAAATAAAGGCACCAACATGATTCTAGATTCCCAATTTAAAGCTCTTCCCTAGAATTGTTTACATAATTAGGTGTTCAGTTATGTATTGAATGAGTAAAATAGCCATTTGCTAGCCCTCCTTGCTCTCCAATATTTCTAAAATTTCCATGTTTATTCATATGTCTGTGGTTGTCAAACATGTTCATCTCAAACATTTTTTTCTTCTCCTTTTTTCTTCTTTTTTTTTTGTTTTGAGTTCTAAATAAGTATAACTATCTGTTTTGACATTTTCATTTGGATGAAATGTACATATATAAAACTATACATATATAAAACTGAAATAAATTTAATCTGCCACCAAGTTAGGCTTGGTTTTTCTTCTAAATAAGTCTATTACCAATCCACCACTCTCTATCTTTATCTTTACCCTAATTAAATTTAATATTATCTTATATACTCAATAACATCGTAATCTGTCTCCTAAATTCACCAAAGCCTAGAGTGATTTTTTTTTTTAAATATACATCTGCTTATTTAAAGTCTTTCAAGGAATTTTTATTGCTTTATGTGTGAAGTCCAAAGCCTCTGTTATGATCCTTCTTAATCAGACTCTAATAATTTTTAGTCTGAAACTCCTGTTACTGTCTTTTTCCTTTCTCAGTCTCTGTTTGTCTTCTCTTAATTTGTAAAATATTTCTTATTCTATTCCACTTCCAGCCTTTGCCAACCTCTCCCTTTTACCTGCAATGCTCTTCTTCTATTTTTAAGTTGTTAAATTTTATTTGACCTTACTTGGCTTTGAAAATAGTTTAGATTGTTGTATGGACCCATAGCGCCTAGTATTTTTATTTTATACATTATTTGTACTAATATTTATTCATTTACCTGGTAGCTATATGTGTTTTTGTTTGTCTGTTTTTGAGACAGACTGGCATTCTGTTGCCTAGGCTGGAGTGCAGTGGTGCAATCACAGTGTTGGGATTACAGGCATGAGCCACCGTGCCTGGCTGTAATAAATTATTAAAGCCTTAAAAGATAAAATTTGACCAATTGCTTGACTGTGAATCATTATTCTAAGGCAAGAAGGAACATAGTTTGAAAGCTATGCAATCCCATTAATACACTGGAAATGGATGTTTAGTTTGTTTCTAATAAAGAACTTCTTTGCTTCATAGTTGCAATAAGTCGATTTATATTGTATAGAACCCCTTGTCTCTGCCCTATTATAGATTCATACAGCTCAATTTAACAAGCCTCTTGCTGCTACATGTCAATCTGTGAATTTCCTTTCATTTTTTATTCAAACCTATTGTAGACCCTTAAGTTGATATTCCAGAGCTTCCTTTTGTTAAGTACCTCTTATCTCTCCACATCCATCTTAGCATATGACTATACCTACTTGTCTTTAGCTTGATTGAGAGCATTAGGCAAAAGAATCTTCATATACTCTAGTTTTTATTAATTTATTCAATGAACATTTATTGAGTGCTAGGCACTGTGTGCCAGGACATGTCAGCATCCATCCATGTCATCCTCAGCCTTCAATTCAATACATCTTGACAACATACTAGTACATATGAAAGACACTTGTAGACACTGTGAAGTATGCTGGCATGAATAAGATGCTGCCTCTATTCACAGTGAGTTTTCTGTTTAAACTGAAAATTTAAACAAGTACACATTTCAGTTAAAGGAATAGCGTCACTTTGTAAAGACCTATTTTCAGGAACAATAAAAAATTGATCAAACTCAAATTTAAAGCTCATATCCAAATGTCATGTTGAAGTAATAAGTTTCATAAGATCACTATAAAATTATCTTAGGTTTAATGCAAAAATGATAGCATATAATTAGAGCAAGTAGTAAAAATGAGGGTGGTAGCAGCAATAATAGTGACTAGTAGAAGTTTTATGGAGGAGGTTAGAAGGAAAAGGAGGTTTCTGAGATGGGGTAGGTATATATTGCATGAAGAAGAAATAGAATAATTAAATATTTGGTAGTGGCAAAGCAAAAACCATCAGCAAGAGTATAGGTACGTGAGTTACACATAGGGAAGAGCAGGTGATGTGGCTGGAAGAAAACTTGGGTCCATATAATTGTTGGTAGGACTCCCTATATATTTAAAAAAAAATGTCGGGGTCATGCCTTCTCCAGTTTACCAAGTGAACTCCAAACCAGTCCTGGACCCTCTCACCTCAGCCTTCCCTTGGTCTCAAACAAAACATAGAAGCTAAGATCAGAGGTGTGATGAGAGTTTATTGAAGTTGTAACATTCTTAAATGTAAAGCATCCTTAAGAATGGTAATTTATCATCCCAGTGGATTAGACAAAAGGGTTCTTTCCCTGCTCTCAAGCGAAGTAATAAAGAGAGCTAGAGACAAATATGTAAGAGGGAGGCTAAAATAAAGAGAAAATAGCAGTAAATGAAAAAAAAATATTCTATACCTTTTTCACTGCAAATCCCAATGCCAAAAGGAGTCAGATCAAATTTGGAGAGAGGGAAGAGAATGTGCTCTAAAATTAATCTTAACTGCATGATACTGTTCACTTAATGGTAATTGGCTGGGAAGTTATGGGATCTTTCTGAGACAGCAAAGTTTGGAGAGGAAATACTCAGTAGAGCATACATGGAATCAGTAGTTGGATACATATAAAGTCATTTCTTACTTATTCCAACAGAGTTCAGGCTCTGTAATAAACTGTGATAGTGTATGAGATTACCCAAGAAAGAGTGCCCAAAAAAGAAGTTTAGTAACAAAAATCAAGAATGCTTACAGATAGGGGATAAAATGATTAGGAGAGAGAGAAAAAGAACAACAACAACAAACAAACAAACAAAAACAGCCATTTTGAGTCTTTGGAAATTACTGAACTGTAAAAGTCAAGGGAAGAGAGTTTAAGGAACAGTGTGCCAGCAATAAAGAGGTCAGGAGAGAGAAAAAGCAGAGAACAGAACACGTAACTGGTGATGAGGATGGTATTGCATATCTTTATGAGCTTCAGAAGATGAGTAAGGATAGAAGCCAAATATAAAGAGTAGACAAAAGAATGATTAGAAAGTGGAGCTAGCAAATACAGAATAAACTGATGGAAACTGGGTGATGAAGGGAAAGAGAAGAAATAAAAGATAAGTTGAGGGGATTGTAGGGTATAAGGTTTTTCTTAATATGGAGATATTGCACATATTCATAGGCAAAGGGGAAATAAACTAGTTGGAAGAAAGAGGATGGAAATGATTGTAAAGGGGAGACAAATTCCAGGGAGCATAGGAGGAGCCTTGACAAGGAAGAAACAATAGGGCAGAGCAGGAGGAATCAAGACAGAAAGCAGGGAGGCAAGATTTGTATCTTACATTGGGTATCCCAGAAAGAAATTCTAGAATGGGAAGTCAACTGAGGACCTGAAAGAATCATCGTCAGTCGAAAAGGGGAAGAAAGAGGTCAAGCAAATATTTAATTTTGAACATAATCTTGGCCTCACACTGATTCCTGGAGGGACTCTAGAGTCTAAACTTTACCTCACAGTGATGGAACTTGGTATTCGGACTCCCAAGTAGTCAGCCAGTGGATAAGGGCCACTCTGGGAAAACAGATGCTCTCAACATTTTTGACTGTCAGCACTTGTGGGAGAAGAGATTCAAGTGGCCCAAAGATAATCCTCCAAAGAAAGTTGTCTGTGTGAGCTGTTAGGGACAAAGGTCATTTGAAAGCTCAGAAATGGTAAACAGCATCTGAGGTTGTTTATATGGAGCACTGATGGTGTCCACTACAGTTTGGAGTCCCCACTTAGACATTTATTATTTTTACCTTTGCCTCTGAGGTATTTCTAAACTTCTTGGTCTCAAATGCCTGTATCATTTTAGTTAATTGGGAGAATTAAATGAGGTGGGTGCTAGTTCTTTTCCCCTTCGGAGATGGAGTGAAAGAAGAGATAGAATGTGGAGATCAAATGTATTTTAGAGGTTAAATTGATGAAATTGAAGAAAGTCACAACTGCTAGTCTATATTTCTAAGGTTATCAGCTTTAAGTGAATAGGTTAAGTTTTTCCGAAGCTATTGTAGTCAGTATTTCCCACAATAATGAATCAAAGAATTTTCAAGCAACGTGAGACTAGCCGGGATGGATTTCTAGAATCTAACCAGGAATTTTATATGACATTGAATAATAATGCTCGGCAATGTACAGGTAGTAAAGAAAATAAAAAGAAAATACGTACCAAAAGGAACAAAAGCTTATAGATCAAAGTTGGCAGTTGTAATGGGTTAACTTTGAGTTACCAATCAGGTGGTGAGGCCTGCAAGCTCGTGGTGAAATAGTGGGAAGTCAAGAGTAGACCAGGGTAGGAGTAGAGAGATAAGGTCCAGCTGGTATGAGTGACCCACACAGCTCTCTACATTAAGCGAAGGTGATGCTAGGGAGGTCCCTGGAGCAATAGAGATGAGGTACTATGATCTTGGGTGTTCGCACGTCATTAAGTTCCATAGAATGTCAGCAGTGGAAGGAGAAGACGAATAAGCTGCCAGCCGGTGGTAAAGCAATAAATAAATGGTGTGTAATTGTGATAGATGATAATGCAGTCAGGGAAAACAGAATATGTGAATTCGTGCTGTAAATGTCTAAGTGAGTATAACCTCAGAGAAAGGTTTCTTTCTTCCTTAAAATGACTTCTCTACTTCTATTCTGGATACAAATATCTCCTCAGACATTTCATGCAAAAATCATTCTCTTCTATTTTATCATCCTTAACTTGTTCCTTTCAATGAAGCCTTTCCCTTTTGCTTTCAGATAGGCTCAGGTCACTC